GAGGCTACTGCGGAGTAAGACAATTGACGATTTTGAGAGAGGGAGTTATTGGAATTGGAGAAAAGGGATGGGTAAATCTCCGAGGAGAAGTACCACCTAGGGAAGCTAATGCGACGAGGGTATAAGTCATTACCATCTGTTCCTTTGGATGGATGGAAGCAAGGAGAAGGAGGAATTCCGATTGATTGATTGATGAGTTGAAGATGAACCATTTTGTTGTTTTTTGGCGAATAAACCGCATGTGCTACGTATTGGGATATAAAATAGATCGATTGGCTTTAACACCTCTGGCACATAGCTAGTCGGGGAATGATGGGAGTAGGGCGTTGAAGAGTTTTTTTCTTTTTTTGTCATTTTTGGTGGATAATTGGATGGATATGGATATGGATATATCTGTTATTTACCTACCTCCCTATCCATGGATATATATAAGGGATAGGGGTTTCTTGTAGATAGGATATTCTATCTTTATCCTTTTTTTAAGCGATGGATGGATGAGATAGGATGAGATGGATAAGGAAATTATACTCTTTTAATATTTTGTGTTGGATTGTGTTTTGTTTTGTTGTGTTTTGTTGTGTCTTCGGGGGTGTGTGATGTGATGATGTGGTGTGATATGCTTGTGCATGTGAATGTGAATGTGAATTTGGATGTAAATTTGAATGTGAAGGGGGAGGGGAGAGGCGAGAGGCGAGAGGGGAGTGATGGATAGGGAAAGGAAGAAGAGAGAGGAAAAGAAGCGAGTGAGGAAGAGGGAAAGGAAAGGAAAAGAAGAGAGGAGAAAAGAAAAGGAATGGGATGGGATGGAATTGTGGATATACATTGTATGAACGAGTGAGTGAGTGAGTGAGTGAGTGGATAATGAATGGAATGTTGGGATTTTGGAGAGAGTAGAGAGTAGAGAGTAGAGGGAAAGAGGGGGGAGTCGAGTCGGTAGTGAAGAAAGGGTGTGTATATATGGGATGTGGGTGTGGATGGGGATGGGGATGGGGATGGGGAGGAGGTGGGAGGTGAGGTGAGGTGAGGTGAGAGGTGAAAGATATAGCTATTATGAACCTTTGGATTGGTTATTCTATTCATCTTTCTGTGTTTTTTTCTTCTTCCATCTTTTGTTACATTCATTATAAAATTTAAAATTTAAAATTTACAACACAAATAATAGGTAACAAGTATCTATATCCATATCCATATCCATATCCACATCTCCAAGAGCCCATAAGGAGAAAGAGGAAGCCCAAGGAAAAGGAAGAGAATATAAGAATACGGAGGAGAGACTTGGGATGTGGTTGTGTTTTGTGTTTTGTGGTTAGTTGTATGGCTGTATGGCTGTATGGCAGTTTAGCTTGGTTGTTTTTGTGTGTTTGTGGTTGTGGTTGTTGTATTTGTATTTGTATTTGTTTATTGAGATATTTGTTTATATATCTATTTACTTATGTTTTTTGAAGTGGAAAATAGCAGGGAATGGGATAGGATGGGATGAGATGGACGGGAATAATAGCATCCTCTAATCCTCTCATCCTCTCATTCTCTCATAGCAGCCGGGAGAAGCGAGGAAATTCGAATGTGGGATGACTACTAGGTAGTTAGGTAGGTGTGTAGTTAGATAGACTAAAGTCGAAGATTTGCATAAGTTTCAACTTCAAGAGAGAGAGGGTGTGTCTTTGAGAGTGGTTAATAGGTAGTTGTATCTATATCGGATTCAGTGGGATTATATGTATACGTCGCAGTTCTGAAAAGTGATTAGTTGATTGGTTGATTAGTTGAAAAGAGGTTCTATTCTAGAAAAAAAGAATAGGTATCATTTCGATAGTCGATATTATATTTGTGATCAAGCTATAAGATCCCCCATCATCATATATATAATGAATGAGGTAACCTACCTCCTGGAATCGCAAACAGGACAGGGGAACATACATATCACGTGCCACAAAGCACATCAAGCGATCGCATCATCACGTCAACATGCGCAAGCCAAACAATCGACGCGGAAACACTCCACACCCGGGAAGTTGGGAGGGGTGATGGAGCCAAGTAAGAGATGCGTGCACGAATCAGTGGTGCGGATTTGGGGTGCGTACGAATTTTTCTTGAGGTGGATGGGATGTGGGATGGGACGGGATGGGATGGGATGCGAGCGGGGGTTTTGGGTGCGAGGGAACTGGCTTGAGAGAGAAGGGTGAGAGCTATGGGATGATTGGGGATTTGGATTTGGATGGTTATTTTCTTGTGTATAGTGTATATCATGCAAGTGCATGCATGTTTGTTGCATTTTAGAAGAGAGAAAAAATGGGGAGATGGTTGGGGGGGGGGAGGCTTTTTTTTTTGGATAGTTGTATATATATGAGTAGTGTACGGATATTGGATAGTTTTCTGATTTGATTATTCTTCCGTTTAGTGGTCTGAGACGTGGTGTGTGAGAGTTTTTGTTATTCTTGTACTTTGGAGAAGAATTGGAAGCAAGCAAGCAAGAAGAATTGAAAAACATGGGTGCTCAAGAGACATACGATGGGCCATTCAAAGCAACTGGTGATGACGAAATCGCAGCTATAAGTGTTGAAGGTAATATACAGCCCGACTGGACGGAGGAGGAAGAACGATTGGTGAAGAGAAAGTGAGTGCTATGCTCTCTATACGAACATCGAGCGCTGTGTTTTTGCACTTCTGAAGGACTAACAATGCTTTTAGAATCGATTTCATTCTTCTACCGATTCTTGAACTTGCATTTTTTGCTCTGCAGTTGGATAGAGGGAATATTGCAAATGCGTTGACGAGTACTATCACGACGGATTTAGGCGTTACGACGAATCAGATTAATGCGGGATCGAGTATCTTATCCGCGGGAATAGTGGTGTTGGAGATTCCTAGTAATATTTTATTGCAAAAGGTATATTGAATTTTGTTGGGGGGGGGGGGGGTACTCACTCCACTTCTATAAAAAAAATGTATAACTAAGATGTCTTTAGATCGTACCACAGAAATGGCTTGCAGGTCAAATCTTGGCTTGGGGATTAGTAGCTACTTTTCAAAACTTCATCACCAATTACTCGGGGTATATCGTTACTCGTCTCTTGCTGGGACTGTGTGAAGCGGGGTTTATTCCGGGGGCGCTCTATACCATGTCTCTCTGGTATAAGAAATCCGAATCGAGCTTAAGGATATCGATATTCTTTCTAGGAAATCTTTTGGCTTCAGCAACGACTTCTCTTATTGGAGCGGGCATTTTGTCAATGTCGGGCAGATATGGTATTGCGGGGTGGAGATGGTTGTTCATCAGTAAGTTCTTGTCTTTTGAGTCGTATTTCCAGCTTGTGATGCGGTAGATTGACTTGCTGTTGCATGACAGTCGAAGGATTGATAACCATTGGAATCGGTTGTATTTTTATTCTCTTCCTCCCTCCTAGCGTCTCAAATAGCTCTCCACTTATCAGCGCCGGTAAATGGAGTTACTTCACTCCCCACGAACAATACATTCTCGTGCGACGAATCCTCCTCGATGATCCTGCCAAAACCACTGGACAACTCCAGATCTCTGGAAGAGAAGTCCTGAGAACGATCAGGAAACCGAGGATATTGGTTCACAACCTCATTACGTTAACATCTACAATTTCTGTTAGCGCGGTACAAGGCTATGGTCCTTCGATCATCAAGAGTCTAGGCTTCAGAACCGTACGAGCAAATGCTATGGCATCAGTTGGGAATTTCATCGCAGCGTTTGTGGTGGTGATTCTTGGATTTCGTCGCGTTAGTATTCCCTTTGCAGCTATGTCGAATCCCAAACTAACCGTCTCAGTTCCAGAGATAAAACCGGGCGTCGTGGCCCTGCAGTCGTTTTCGGCGCTACTTGGTGCGTGATCGCCTACGCGTGTTTACGCATTTCCATTGGAGAAAGTAAATGGCATCGCTATGCAGCAGTTGTGTTTTCCATGGCTACGAATTCCAATGTCCAGTTGGTTATTCCTGCATTCACTATCGCTTGTCTGAAATTTACCTAAAAATAACTTGCCCCTTCTAGCATCCTTAATGTTTCCTGGCTCTCCATCGACTGCAAATCCGCACGGGAACGTAGCATCGCCATGGCGATGATCATCATGGCCGCCAATTCAACGGCGATTGCAGGATCGCAAGTCTTCCGCACGGCGGATGCCCCGCTGTATACGCATGCGTTCACGGCTATGTATATACTTGCTGCAGCGACGTTTGTCATTGTGGTGGGTTTGATGGTGTGGTACATTTTTGCAAATAGGAGGTTGGGGAAGAAACCGGAGGTGGTACAGGGAGGCTTGAAGATGGAGGGGGAGAGTGGGGAGGAAGGAAGTTTGGAGGTCGTGAAGAGTTGGTGGTGGACTTGGTGAGGTTGGGTCGGTTGAATAGATGGAATGGTGGTGGGGTTGGGGCAATTGTTCTTGAATAATGTATTTGCGGTGGTAAGAGTGGTATTGGACTTAATGAATGAATGAATAAAGAAACCAACGAAACAGGTTACTGACTTGTTATCTTGATACAACTCCCTCGGGAAATTTTGTTTCAAGACTCGTGATCCCTACAAAGTCTATACAATCTCGTCTGCTACATAGATGAGACAGATCAGAAGCAGAAGCGAAAAGGGAAGACTGTGATCTAAACATAGCAGGAGAGGAGGTAAGAGGTAAATTGGTGAAATGAGAAGGATGGAAGATTAAAACTACACTGATAGCTCGTAACGTTTAATAACGCTGGAGTTGAAATATACATGTTATATTTGATATACTGGAAAGTAACAGCGAAAAGCTTTATTTTTGATGCTTCCATAGTGCCACTCATACCTAGGTAATGTCAAGTTTTCAGAAGATCATTTACTTCATGCCCAAGAAGCTTATGATGTAGATACAGACAATATCTCATATCAATTTTACCCCACCTCGGGATCAACATTTATCTACACAAGACGGTTCACAAACCATATAAAAAAAGCATACAGAAACACATACTTCACATCTTCCTGACTCTCAAGTTTACAAAAAATGCCCTCCTCTTTCCAAAACAAGACTATCCTGATCACCGGCGCCGGAAGCGGCATCGGCCGAGCTACGGCCATCAAGTTAGCTTCTCTGGGCGCCTCTCTCTATCTCTCCGACATAAATCCCGAGTCCGTCTCCCAAACCCGAGAACTATGTTCGCCATCCGAAGCATCCTCCACACAGGAAGTCCACTTGCATTCTCTAGACGTCAGTGATTCTCACGCATGTATTACATATATCCTTGATGTCCTCCGCGAATGCAATACCATCGATCACGTGTTTAATTGCGCGGGGATTAATCCGACCGCGATACCCATTGAGGAGATCACGGACGAGTATTGGGATCGCCTGATGAATGTTAATTTGAAAGGCACATTCAATATCACGCGAGCTGTGGCTCCGCATCTTACTGCGGGATCTTCATTCGTGAATGTATCATCGGTCTGCGGGATGGTTCCCGTCTCGCAATTTTCGGTCTACTGCGCGACGAAGTATGCGGTGGTGGGATTCTCGAAATGTATGGCGTTGGAGTTGGGGGCGAGGGGCATCAGAACGAATGTGGTGGCGCCGGGGTATATTGATACTCCGACCAATGTGTCGGTGCTGGCGGGAGAAGAGGAGGTGAGGAAAATGGAGGGGGCGGTCGCGAGTGGCAGGTTTGGCTTGCCGCAGGAGGTGGCGGATGTGGTGGCTTTCTTAATGAGTGAGGAGGCGAGATATGTTAATGGGAGTGTGGTGGAGGTTAATGGGGGGATGGCTCATTGAGGGGGTTGGATGTGGGATCAAATTATGGGAGGAGTGTTGGCTCCCAGTGAGCTTCGGGAAGATTTGGTAAGGGGGAGTTTGTGAGATGATGCTAAACCCATATCCCGGTTGAATACTCAGTGAGGGGGATTGGAGGAAAAGATTTAAAAGCTTCTGGGGATATAATGTGGGCTTTTCAAGACATCTAGATCTTTGGAAGGCTGTCGATGCGTATTATTGGATAGGCTTCCAGGCTGTCTATAGATTCCCGATGTGGTGTTGGATACAATCTGATGATTAAGAGAGTACATTATGGAATGTTACTATTTAAGAAACCGAAATGCGAACAATCAGCTCCTAGAATTGGATGAGACTACGTGATACCTGCTATACTCTCATATTCCAATGGATTTAGGTTTGGAAATATGTGATATTTATGCTTAGAAATATAAAACACTTTAGTCATTCAGCAGGAGGATTGCTGGAAAGACCAGATGAGATTGTATTGGAGAACTGGATCTTGGAGAAGTTTGACTCAATAAAGGCTGATAGATGCGGATGAAAAAGGAGCTGTTAATACAGTAGATTTGAACAATAGAAATACACAATCTAGTCTACGAGCGAGATATCGCTAGATGCGAAAGTTTTTATAGACCAAATGTTATATTTGACTTCCAAGGTTGGAGCTATATATTCGGCTTAGATGAAAGGTTAATTTATATGTTTGACTGTCCCGTCTTACTCCACATCCCATACCGTGTAGACTGTTTTTCTTGAGATGTGTATCCACCCATGCGCCATATCAACCAATTAACTATCCCATTTCGATCCACCAAGCAAATTTTCTATCTAAAATGCATTGTAATAATATATTGGTAAACCACAGGACTCTGCCATCAAATCAAGCAAACATCTTGATTCCACACCTAGCTTCTGTGGTCCAATGGTTAGGATTCCACCCTTCCAAGGTGGAGGTTCGTGTTCGATTCACGGCAGTTGCATGTATCTTTTTGCATTTTTTCTCTACGCGTCTACATGCCGATCTATCTGGTTGATACGAGATGCTTTTGGTTTTGGTCTCGCTACTCAGTCAGGGGGGTTTCAATTTTTGCTTGATACAACTTATCTGTCTGATTATCTGGATACTTTTAGTCCTTCTTTGCGAGTGCGTGGCATCGATGTTTATATTGTGCAGGTGAATATTCGTATTATGGATGTGGAATGCAAGGTTTTTTGGAGTATGAGATGTCTTATCCGATAAAATTGATGAGACATACAAGCTTTTTGCTATTTTCATATCTTCAAAGATTCTCTGGGCTATTGCTGGACAGATGTGTAGGAGGCAATGGAATTGGAATCCAAACCGAAACCACTACATATAAGAATATTGCGATTACTAATCTTATTCTTGCAACCACCAACCCCGCGCCACGAACACCATTAAATGTTCACGCCAGATGAAACGATTTCCTTGCAGAAATTTAATCCATTGCCATACTCTTTTTTTTTTACCGCTCTATATGAGCTCGTGATGTAAATATAACATGAGAATATCTTAGGAGCTTGCTGAAGATGTGCGAATAAGAAAATAATCAATTTCCTCGCACTTCCGTCTGACCCCTTCATCGATGAATACGGAACAAACGATGATAACGGTAATGGTAATGTCATTTGACAATGTTTTGCATAGAAGATACGAAAACTTCTGAATTGTTTTCTACAGAGATTGGCAGGAACACTATTGATGAATGAGGAACATGGTAGAGATGCGGCGAAAGTTCTCCAGCTCCATTTACGGTGTATGGATTGGATGCGATTTCGATACTCTGAGACCAAGAGATAGCTTTCTTGAGATTTTGTAAGGCATGATTTTTCTTGGGTCGGGAAGTTACACTGTTTTATTTCAATGCCTGAAGTTGGTTTGGAGATTCGAGTGGAGTAGTTGGGTTCTTGAATTTTGGGACTGACTTTGATAAGATGTAGAGCCTCGTGCTACACTTCGATGATTGTCTATTTGATTGACGAAGTCGACAGATTGCTCAGACTTAAAGATCTTGCAATGTCGTTCTGCAATGGCTGGACTTGAAATATCAACAGAATGGATTTTGTAGTCTGTATTGCAGTCGTTTTGTACTTGGTACTGAGTACATTTTTGAAGCCTTTCCCTCTTTCCCCCTTTTTTCCGAATATATGGTCTAAATGCGCCCTTGACTTCTTACTCCAAACCAACGAATGATGTAGACCCGCTTCATAGAGCATAGATCATAGAGCATGGAAGCCTCACCACCATTCATGCCAGTCTACCATATGTTGCCTACCGTTCAGTATCCACGAAAGCTCTCCATACTTTCCCGTCTTATCCGTATACCTATAGCCCCAAGCTCAACCCCCTTGATATCAATGTTCGAAATAGTGACGACTTCTGTCTCCACACCAACTCCTACTCGACCTTCTGTGATCCTCAAAGCTTGTGTTCTGTCGTCATATTTGTGGACCTGAATGTCGTAATCGGCCATGGTCACTTCTAGGCGCGCTGCAAGGGCGGTCGTGAGTGCCGCAGTAATTACCCGTGGAATGTCTGTGTTTGTGTTCCAGCGGCTATATCAATGATTTTGTATAGCACGAATTCTCCGACGATGGTTTCTCCGGTTTTTACGCAATCGGTTGGTTACATGAAAGACACTACACCTGTGTTTTCAACAGGGAAACTAGTCAGAGAATCCTCGGTGATCAATAACATCTTCATTACAAGACCCTGCCGTGTTTCTTTTGTAAGTAGCATTATAATGTGTGGTTGTACAATAACGAAAGTTAATCCGGTATTGAATTGATGGACGAAATGGGAGAAACTGGAATGTCGTGGATCATTCCAACCCCAAAGATTGAATTGGTTAGGGATGATGGTGGCAGCTGTACTCTCTTACATTGCTGGTCCTATGCTCGGGTGCCGTGTCGTATGCGGCATGATGTAAACGTATTTGTAATCGGTTAGCTACCTGCTGGTGTTATGCGTGAATCAATGTATTCTTGGGAATCATTACGAGTAGACCTTGTGTAGAATATAACAGTTGGGAGATAGAAAGGATCGGTCTGCAATTTTCTTCTCAATAAGTGAAAATTTTTGAGGTTCCTCTCTATTGAGAGTAATTAAGCTAACTATAGTGCCTTTTCGTAACTCGGATGTAGATGCCAAAGACCGCCAATCCGAACGGAATTCTTCTGCTAATCAACTTACTCCAGTGGGCGAGAATACCTGATGGGCCAGAAATTTCACTGGAATTTTCGTGGCCCACACCTGAAGACTGGCTGTGCTGTTGCTCAGTTACCTTCATTACCACCAGTGAGAGTTGGCTTTAGGTCAGCAGTGAAAATGCTCTTAGTAATTCGCTGAGCCATGATTGTTTCATGGTTTTGGAAAGAGAGTTCACTTTCCCAACATGCGTTCTTATTCATGGTTCTCCCCCTTTTTGAGTTCGTGGATCGGTTCCAGAGTCTACACTATCTCCACAACGCAAACTTACTTCCTCGAATATCATCATGGGAATTTCCTGGCTGTCGCAGACTGCTTCCAGGAACTTCCTATGTATCTGCATCCATGCTCGGCCAACGATCGTATGGTCTCAGCATTGCTGTACCGGAGATTGAGAAAGCGCCTAGCTGATATCTCGGTGAGAATTATGGCTGGTCATGTCGTTGAATTTTCAATATGAAGAAGACTAATCCGGTATTGAGCGACAGTGAACAATGAACTGATGTAGCACAGGCTAGCACAAAAAACCGCCCTTTTCAAACAGCGCCAGGAAAGGGCATTGGAAATCTAGAATTCTAAAGTGAAATCATCGGTTAGAATTGTCAAATACTCCGAATTGCAATTGTAAGATCTTACAATTATCCAAAAAATCCTACATATCTTAAGAAAAAATTTCGATTTATGATGAGCTAACTCACTGCAGTTTGTGCTTTTAAAAACAGTGGGTTAGCATGATAGCTCGTGCTATACTTAGGTCTTGAAGAGGAAGATGGATGATAGCTATTTCCATGAATTCAGAACATGTTCCAATCCGAATTGGTATGCTCGAGGAGCATCCATTAAGTAACTAAATCATCAAATGTTACCAACTCAGTCGAGAAAGAAATGAGTGCTGACCAAACAGTAGATGATGCTTACGAGAGACAGAGAATGGAATTTGAAAACTACGATCAGCCTCAATACGAAGTTTGCTTGCGTGAGATTTGGAAGCCTCTCTTTCGCGAAAATTTGGGCTTTCGCGGGAGATTTAAAATCTTATTAGTTTGCCACAATCTTCTTGCAGCATCGAGCAAGACTTCCAAACTTAAGTAGAAAATAATCCTTTACCAAATTGCCGGTATCAAACATCAAACATCGAGTACAATATGTCACGTGAACACGGTTAATTCGATGCCGGTAGATAACAACGAGAGTGTGATTGGCTTCACAAAGAATTGAGACAAATATAGAAAGAATGTATCGTTACTCCCATGCATTCCTTCAGGACTTGTACGCCAGCCTTATACAATACGCTGAATATAGACTTTGGACAAAGTACTGAAGTGACACTGTGATCTTGTATTCCCGGATCATCTGATTCATATCGAAATGAAGGAGAGAAGCACAAGCACACGATATTGAGAAGGTGGTCAGAAGCTTAAATTCAAGAATAGATGAGATGGAATGTGAATTTAATAGGGCATGAATCTGATCAAGAAAAAGGGATTCTTCATCTCGTAGTCAGCAATTGGTGCTCGGAATTCCTGAATCAGCGGGACACACACAATGCACCAATTAGCCAGTGAAATCAATCATTTCTTCTGGGAATGAGAATTTCACGTGTTTTCGATAAGACTATCTTCTAATTAGCATCCATATGTAAAAGTAGGTAGGTTATTAGCAAAAAATCAATCCTTCGCGGCGGAGTCGTTTACATGAAAGGCGAAAAAAGTTTAGCTTCAGGGGTATCCCGTTTCATTAGATAAGCAGAAAGCCCCCAACACCAAGCTGAATAATGACAGTGGGGTTCAAACATGTTGTAACTTCTCCAGCATCTCATCGATCTCTATCAGATATACGCACCAAGAAGCGATTTGTGTGAGATGAGATGCAGTGTTCCTCAAGATGCTGCAGATGACAGTTCTTTTCTTGGATACATTACAAGATGTTCTGTGGGGTATCAGTTACGACCTTCGCCGCAGTGTCCAGGTCCTTAATTTCAAACTTGATGACAGGAACCTGGTAACGTTACAATAAGTTTCTGGTTTTGTCGATATCGACTCCAAATGAGGACTTTGCTTGATTCCATCTTCTGTTTATGCTATTCAAATATTACGCAAACACGGTTGGTGTATTGCTCAAAACTAGCTAGTAGGCTATCGGCATTTGGGACTTTGGCCACGGCCATGTCGCATTGTTAACTCAAATACTATATGCTATAAAGTGGTCTGAAAAGTTCAAGACTTTCAAGAAATTCCAAATAGTAGGGTCTTCAAAGATCACGAATTGTGTTTGTTGGCACGTATGCTAATCGGCACGTTTGCCAACTGACAGGGGTGGCTGGCTGTTGACCAGCAGGTTTGGGCGGAGGATGCCAATGGACCGCACCAACACGTTCGTGAGAGACGAATCAGCTCAGCATCTCCTTTGGATCCGTTTGTTGCTAACGGTCATCAAATTTCGAGGTCTAATGTTACTGCTTCAGGAAGGCTCATGGATCCCGTTCGATACATTATGAACAGACCATATCATTTTTCTCGAAGGAATTCAAGCCTTGTGTGTACTGATTGGGGTGGCTTGGCATAGGATTTGCACTTCATCTCAGAAATGATCCCACTGCAACCCGAAGGTACTCCAAGAAGGCGCAATTCATTATGATTCTATTCATGGTAAACGAATGCTTCGCAACGGGAGGCCTTTCAGGTTCACCGAACCAGGTGTCTATTCAACGGTCTCAAGATGAGGTTATATAAGTATGCTCTTCCGGTTTGGAAAGTAAAGCATCATCAACAACAACTACTCACATTCATTTCCTACTCACATTCATTTATTTCCTTTTCGGGTTTTTATCCCATTACTTTCCTTCATACCTTCATTTGAGATCTACAATCTACAATTTACAATTTGAATTTAGTTATTTTTTTCTCTACTTCATTTCATCATGTACTCAACAAAAAGTCTCATCGGGTTCGCGAGCATGCTCGCAGCCCTTCCATCTGCTTTTGCTGGCTTTAGTTCCAGCTCTTCTAACAGTGTTGCCATCTACTGGGGTCAAGGTCCTAACCAAGGGACACTCGTATCATACTGCTCAAGTAAGACTTTACAATCATTCGTCCTCTTGAAAAAACATAAGACAAAATGCTGACAAACCATTACAGATGCTGGCTTTGACATCATCCCCATTGCTTTCTTGATCTCTCTCAACAAGTTGACTGTCAATGTCGGAAACGCAGATCCTGCCCAAGTTGCAAAGGACATCGTTACTTGCCAGGGTATGGGTAAGACAATTCTCCTCTCTATTGGAGGAGCAACTTACACCGAGAATGAGCTCGCAAGTGCTGATGCCGCGACTACTGCCGCCAAGAATGTCTGGGCTGCCTTTGGTCCCAAAACCTCATCCTCCACAACTCGACCGTTTGGTGACGCTGTCGTTGATGGTTTCGATTTTGATATAGAAACCCAAGGTCTTACCAACTTGGACGTCTTTGCTCAAGAACTCCGCACTCTTTCAGATGCTGAGACTAGCAAGAAATACTACTTGACTGCCGCCCCACAATGTCCTTACCCAGATCAAGCCGATAAATCTTTCCTTCAAGGCGCAGTCTCTTTCGATGCTGTCTTCGTCCAATTCTACAACAACAACTGTGGTCTTAACAAGTTTGTCAAGGGAAGCACTACTCAATCCGAATTCAACATGGCAACATGGGATACATGGGCTTCAACCACCTCCAAGAACAAGAACGTCAAGGTTTTCGTCGGTATCCCAGGTAGCACCAGCGCCGCCACCACAGGTTACATTGACCAAGCCACTCTTACTGATGTCATCACTTACTCCAAGACTTTCAAGAGCTTCGGTGGTATCATGTCTTGGGATATGGTCACTATCATTGGAAACAGTGGTTACCTTGCCAACATCAACAAAGCACTTGGAGGCGCCCCTGCTTCAGGATCTGCTGGCTCCGCCAATACCTCTGCTGCAGTAACTACTGCCAAGGCTTCTGTCGCCCCTGCCCCAACCACTCTTACCACTAAAGTCAAGTCTACCGTTATCTCCTCCAACGCTGTTGCTACCACTACCGCTAAGGCCGCTGCTACTACCACCGCCAAGGCTGGCGATGAAAAAACTACCGTTGCATCTGCCGGTGCAAGCGCCACTGCCGCTTCCGGAGCTGTTCCTCAATGGAGCCAATGCGGAGGTGAAGGATACACCGGATCCACCGTGTGTGCAAGTGGCTTCAAGTGTGTTAAGACTGACGACTGGTGGTCTGCTTGCGAGTAAATTCTCTTTTCACATCTGGAGTAGAATCCACTCGAAGAGTATGACGATTGGAAATGTATTGGTACATGCATATGGATATACATTTCCATTCTCCTTATTAATCTTTGACGGAATGACCTGGCAATGATGGTACAATAAAAGGACTGGATATATCTGGACACGTTTGGCATTTTGACGCGCGGGATGTGGTACTTGCATTGTTTGTTTAGCATTTGGGATTTTTTGTTGAGTTTGTGTGGAATCTATTTTTGGGATTTTTTTGCGCGAGGAAAGATGATGAGCGGTTGGTTGTTTGGATTTGTATTATTATTCTACCTATACTATAGCATGATCGCATTTCAGACGATCAGGTGACTGCAATATATATGATGAATTTCACTTTGTTTCGAGTATTACTTTGAGTATATTTGACTGTTGTGATTAATATTATGATTTTTAAAAGCATTGGTTAGCACTGCAGGCTAGTTGTCACTACCACTCCTGCCATATCTCCAGAAAGTGAATTGCGACACAAGAAATCGGAGGCTTAGCAGGTTGATGAGTTATCCCATGATAGTCTAGTGCAATGAAAATCAACATGTTATCTAACCCGCTGGGCATGATTGGTCATCACTTGACCGAGGCTCTAAAGCAGAGTAGCTAATATTCTAGACCAGTAGACTAGATTTAAGCTTCCAACACCCAAGAATTATATAATATCTATAGTGCATAAAATAGTTTAAGCGATTTGAATGTTTTGATTGGACTAAAGGCTCAAAGTTTTTTATTTAAGGACTGAGGTTTGGGCTATTGCAAATCCCAACACGGATGAGAATGAACTTTATCCAAAAAGATTGGCATATGTTGTGATATATAAATACACGCCTGTAGTCTATCTGAAGCTCTGGATCAAATGAAGCATTCTTCAGGACTGATAATCCCTCTATTCACTATCAACGGGAAGGCCAAGCTTAAACCCTCCCACACAAGCTCTCTGAAACAACCCCTCATTATCATATGCTCGGCTGACATCCCTCAAAAAGCTTAAATTCTCCTCTCCGTATCCTTCAAATGGTCTCTGCCACTCCGCACAGTAATTTAGATATTTCCATTTATGATTCATTCCATTCTTCTCCGCAATTTGTTCAATTTCTTCGATTGCACGCCGTGTGGTTTGCTTCACCACTTCGTCATCTTGGCCGTTAGGCCAGTTTACTGTAAAACTCACGATCACGAGAGGTTCATTGATACCATGTAATCCCAATGGGTTTGAATCACCCTTGCGTACCCAATCTGGTAATAATGGTTGCATGACCAGTGTCCAGACTAAACCTTTTACACTTCGCAGTGAAGAAATAGCGTCCTGATATACAGCATGCGTAGCGGCGAGTGTAGTGATATCATTCTTGATAGTTGTCGTAGCGAGCACTTGGCGTTTTCCAGGTGGATTAAGAGTATTCATTTCATCGGTTGCACTTGTTAATGTGCGCAGTTTACAGGTGCTCCAAAAACGCCACATTGATGAAAAGGGTGATCTTCTCCAATATTCTGGCCATTTCTTCTCGGAGGGCTTCGTGTATACCAGATTGACGGAGATAGCTTGGACGCCTAATGGCTGTATATATGTAAAACATGCCAAAGGACCAGCAGTATGGTGATCCCAATCAACTCTGTTCACAACCCCATGGAAGGCGGAAATGACTTTGCTCGTTTGAGAACTAGGCATATAAAGAAAGCCGCTCCAGATTTTGGTGCTGGGAAAACTGCGAGCCGTGAAGCGAGTAACGATGCCGAAATTGTTAGAGCCTCCTTTGAGGGCACGCCAGAGATCAGGATTCTGGGTTGCGGAGGCCGTGGTGAGAGTTCCTGATGCGAGGACGATATCGTAGCTGATTATGTTGGAACATACTAGACCAAATTGAGGACAGAAAAATGAGAGACCGCCTATTTTCAGATATTAAAGAACCGCTCCATGTATCAAATAATCACCAACTCACCTCCTAAAGTCAGCCCGCCAACTCCCACAGCAGAATTTCTGCCACCAACAACAGCCAGCCCCCTCTCATCCAAAACTTTTGAAACATCCATCCACCTACAACCTGCTCCAATAATCACACTCGATTCATTATTCACCTCAGAAGGTACGACCTCGTTGAAACAACTAAGATCAATAAGAACACCCCCTTCAATACTTGCAGCCCCAGCAACACAGGAATGGCCGCCACTGCGGATAGCGAACAATCCGTCGGATCTATGTTCTTCACCAAGTCTTTTCTTTCTCCGTTCATTATACTCGTGTTTGATTATAGTGACAGCTATGCAAAGCTCCTCATCATTGCGAGGTCGAACAATACATGATGGCTTTACTTCACATTCCTGTTTTGCCCAGTAGCCATTCACTGCCTTGTCGAAATTAGTGATACTTTGTGGTAGAATAACACTTTCAGGCAGAGCGGCTGCGAGAGTCTTGCTGATTCTCGTGGTCTCTGGGATGACTGGACTGTCTGCCCGCCCTAAGAACAGAAGGCGACGCATTAGGAAAATAGATATAAGTATCAAAAAAGCGGTCAAAGATACGGTAAATATTTGAGAAACCATGGTTTTAGATCTGATAGAAATGAATCGTCGACTCTATTATCTGACATGTAGGAGGCCAACATTTGTCAGAGGAAAGACGTGAATAGATGCATGTGGCGCAGCACGGCAATTGCCAGCCAATGAGTATTCACCAACATTTACGTATAACTTTCCACTACCAGTCAAGTAAGTGTATGTAAGGGAGGTGAATACACAAGATTAAGTTGTGGCGTGTTCAAATTCTCCGCCCCCTGCGAAACCTCGCAAACATATCCTTGAGTCTGGAGCTTGTGTGGCCGTCCTTAAGTGGACTGTCCTGGGAACTGGAATTGGACCATGCAAGAGACTCATCCTCAGCTTCCCTACTGGCTCTTTTTGTAGAAGAGCCACGTCTAAAGATTTTCCTGATTAAATAGATAGGTATCCACCATTCCGTGGGAATCTTGCTTTCGCTTGTTGGTTTGAAAACTTCGAATCTCTTTCCGATTTCTTGCCACCATTCGCTATTGTCTTTTTGCATGTGGCCCACCAATTTTTGTCGTTGAGGGTTGTAATTGGCGTCAATCTTTTGCGATATGAAGTCCATGTTAAGGACAATTGCATACGTTATTGCACCCACGATGCACGCCGTGATGATAAATGGCACTTTCGTAGAGCTTTCCCGAATGTTTGGAATGACCTAGAGCGCCTAAGATATGTGAGAATGACGGAGAAGATCAATGTGAATGATGCACTTACCGCACAGAAAGCGAGAAACAAATAAAGTATGCTGACATACGTCAAAAGTTTGACGTTTCCTCCCAACCTCGTGGACGCCTGCTCTCCACCAGTGCGCTGGCATTGAATAGCTATTTCAGAGAGTAAAGCATTAGAGACTATTCTGGATCTATAATTAATGAGTTTGGTGGAACAACTATCAACTTACCCCATCTCGCAAAGCCTTTGTTGTTTCCGCGTTTCTACTGAAATCGTTGCGCAGTTCTTTGAGGGTGTTTACATGTGTTTGCGCTTGTTGGATCATTTTCTTGAGCTGCTCGAGCATATAATCACCTCTAAATGTTTTCCGCTCTGTTGATGGATACAGACACGCGGCGTCTAATAGTTGTTTTGTATCTTCGTGATCCGGTAATGGCTGCAGGTGTTCCTTATAGTATAAGCCCCATTGCTTGATATTATCAGATAAGTCATTATCGATTTCGGTCAAACAACCAATGGCCCAGAAATACTTTCGAGAGCGAGTGAATCTCTCGTCGTCAAAAAGCAAGTTGGAATATTGCTCAATGTCTAGAGAATTTTCTTCCAAAAGTTCGCGGAAGGGACCGTTTAGCCCCTTCCATTTCGCTATAATAAAAGAAGCGCCAGTTCAACGCATTCCAGCTCAGCATGAATTGCCGTATCATGTGTGAGGATGTACTTTGATTTTCTTTTAATAAAATATTCATCTGCCCCTAGTATAAGAATCGGGTAGAACGGATCGAAATGCCCATCAACAAAACTAGAGGTGTTTGTATGATTATCAGTGGTGAAAATTGAGACCTGAAAATTCAATCAGCAACGAATGTTGACTTGAGACGAAAGAATATAGAAAGGAATATGGACTGAATACAGTGAGGGTAAAAAGCCTCAGATGACGATGAGAGGATTTTAGGTTATCACCAAAAAAACAGTATGGATTTGTGTGGAACCCTGTAATCATTGAATAGTTCGAAGAAAGTGAGAGTGTATTGAGAGTGATTGCGATATACACCAGGATTAAACTTTGAAAATTGACTCGCAAGGTGTTTATTGAGCAGTCCTTGTGCATAGTAATTCGATAAAAAATTGTCAGCATGCACCTGTGCTGCTCCTACCACGGGATGACCATTAGTTTGTTTGTTGTTATAGTTCCAATGACCTGAATACGCCAATTCATTGAGAAATCTGCATATTACAAGCTGTTGATTCCACCGAACATCACTTTCAAAGCAAGAATTTCAAAGCTGTTACTGACATCAAACGTCGTTAAGAAGCAGGTGTTCTGAAGGACCTGCGTTGCGGCAGTATCAGAGGATTGAATGTTTCTTCGGATCTGGATACGTTAGCAGTAATTGATTAATTGAGCCCAAGACTTACTTACGTAGAGAAAAGCAATTCTTTGTCTAACATCAAAGGTTCTCTTGCTTTATGAAAATAAAAATCTAGCTTACACCATTGTATAGAAAGAGAAGATTCAATAGAGCTGGTATCTTTGTTGGCCTCCGATAAAAATCCTAAGACATCAAAGCTATAGGTCTCCTGCATCCATGGATCATAATCTTCAACAAAAAATCGGACACTTGTCCGTGTCATATCACACGGTGATAGTTTTGTAGCGTCCTGAAGTGATGGAAACAAATTCATTCTGTCCAGTCCGGCTGCTCGAAATGATATTTCTTTCTTTCAAAATGTCCATGTATTCCCTCAATGGTGAAAGGAAGCCCTATGCGGTCATCGGATGGAATGTGTAAAGCTAACCAAGACAGTCTGTCAGAACTTCTGTGCAGAATTTCAAGGCATCAGAATCGTCGAGTGGAGTAGCTGAGTATGGATGACACCAAGATCTCAACCCCTCTGACAATTTATCTAGACACTCGTAAAAATTAAGGTCATTTTTAACAGATTCAATTTTATTATGTTGGGAAGTTTTGCCCCTTATTGGCGAAGCTGGTCTGGACGGTGGTAGTTCGATAGAAACCGCCATTTTTGGCCCAGAGTAGGTGTCTTCATACCATCGCCAGATGTCAGTTCGAACAGCATCAGGTCGAGTAGCACTAGGTTGATTGGGCGTGGAGCCGTTGACAGGTAATTGGATATCAAGATCCCGGGAAAGCTTTTCGTTGATCCCGCGAAGCAATCTGAGTAATTCATTATGCTCGGCGGATTCTGAGCTGAGTGAACTGATTCCTGATGCTGTCTCCCAATCGGACATTCTTAGTCGCCAAAAAGAATTGTACAGGTTAAAGGTTTTGAAAATTGAGATTCAAGAAGTCATTGCTGCAGACCAAGAAGAGTAGCAATTATATAATTCTTATAATAGTTGTTCATGGGATATAACAGAGCCGCGTAATTGACAGGCTGACTAATCAACAAAAATAATCACATAGTTGCCAGCAGTACGCGTATAACCGCCGACTTTTTCAAGGATCTGACACTCTGTCTACACGATACATTCATTTGCTTCCAATTGAATAAATATTCAACAAAGGCCTGAAACTTTCTCCCGAGAACTGTCTGGCAATACTCCAAATGCGGAAAAAGACCCCAATATAACCATACCAAAAGTGCATTGCTTCTAAATTGTCAAAATGGTGAACGATTGGCTTGTAGCGTCACCAGCACAACTAGTCGAGTCTAGCTTTCCATCCTCACTTGCCACAAGGCAGGTTGCATTATTTCCATTTTCAGGGGCAAGTAAGATTTCTGTTGGGCCTTCTATGAATGGGAACAATTGCGAGTTTGTTACCAAACCATCTATGAAAAAGGTCAGCTGGCGTTTCTCTTAGTAATGTAAACCAATTTCGAAAATAAATACCTCCATCAGCTCTTCCACCGCAAGAGAACATGATAACTTTATCGCCATTAGCTCTTCTCGGGTCAAAGTTAAGACATCCTTGAGTCTGTCCAGAATTATTAGCATCATTCGACAACTTCCAATAGAGAAAATAACTACTGACCAAGCTACTGACTACAAGCACCGAGCCGGGTACATTATTATGCTTTCCACTTGTAACAATATCCCAAGCTTGATTTTGACTTCCATCACATGCTTGTAGAGTGATTGGAATCAAATTCTGTCTAAAGTCGCCCGCAGTTGGATCAACGAATAGACATTGACCAGATGCATCTTTCAAAGCGACGGATGAAAAAGCCTTTACGGCGGTATTATCCATTTCATTGGCTTCAGCTGCGGCAGAAGGATCTAGTACACCTCCAGCACGGGAAACGGGAAGAGGGGTCGTTGGATCGCTTGTCGGTACTACAGAAGCAGCTGTAGTCGCAGCCACTGACGATGGTGAAGCAGGGGAAGGCAATGAAGACGTGGCTGCTGAAGATGTAAGAACGGCTGATGATGAAACGTCTGCTACGCCTGAGACCGATGGTGCAACAGAGCTAGCGATTGCTGGATCGGCGGAGACACTTGAGGCATCAAATGTAAATGTTTGGCTAGAATCAGATTCATCGCAGGGAGCCTGATCGAGAACGTTCGCAGTGGTAACAGACAAACAGGTGCCTGGGGCGTTTTCGGGAGAAAGAGTAAGTGGGCCGGAAGTCACATTGAATGGAAAGAGCTGGGATTTTGTGACAAGCCCATCTAATTCAGGTCAATAAGAACCTGGCGAATAAAAGCCAATAAACAATAAATACCTCCGTCGGCCCGACCACCGCAGGAAAACATGATGACAGTATTACCCGCCGCACGGCGAGGATCAAAGTTCAAGCAAGCTTGGGTCTAAACTCATTAGTCCTTGAAAGAGACGGTAAAAGGGTAATTGTGCCCACCAAAGTATTGACAACCAGCATACTACCTGCTACGTTGTTGTGTTTTCCACTGGTGAGAACGTCCCAAAGCTGTCCCGTACTGCCATCACAGGCAGCTATTTGAATTGGTGTCAAGTTCGCTCTGAAGTCACCGGAAAGCTCATCCACGAAGAGACACTGCCCTGATGAAGTCTACATCTTGATTAGCACCTAAGAAACTAAGCCAAGCAGAAGAACACCATACTGTGATTGGAACCGATGTGAAAGCTCTTGTTGCGGTATCGTCCCGTTGTTGTGCTTCCTCAAAGGCAGTCTGGTCAAGAGAAGCGACGACTCTTTTACGAAAGGCAGGGGAAGCAAAACCCTGTGTTGCTAAGAGTAACAATGAATTGGAGAGATACATGATTAAGGGTTGATATGTAATAGGGTAAAAATGATTGATGGCAAGGAGTATAAAATATCTCGTACACTTGTTGAAAAGATTGGAAGACTGCCCAGCAGTTTAAGGAAGGTAAATTCAAAATAGAGAAACGAAAGAAGAAGAAGAAGAAATAGTAATGAGAGAAGGAAAATAGAAATAACTGCAATGGAAATTTGTGATGCTCAATGAAGCAGGAAACTTACGATGGTATATATCAACTTCACATACTTGAGTAACATTGTACCAGCGGTCCTCGAAACACTTCTTGTCAAAGGTCACACAGCATATGAATTTTAAAAGCAAAGATACTTGGTAATTAGGACTTTACCAAAAAGCCTTCTTCGGGCTATCCTCAACACAAAATAAGCAAAATATCAACTTCACTTGAGCAAACATGCAAGTGTTGAAACCACACGCGTCGCAAATCTTGTTCGCGTGTAGCCGTTTTATTTGGCGGTTAAGAGGTCAAGTCTCCGGTCAGGTCTCGGGAGAATCCGTTTGATCTGCACTGATTGATCCTATCATTCGTCAAATGATGAGGGTTCATCTGATCTTTGTTTTGAGTTTAATTTTCAGATGGTTTATGATTTTTGAAAGAAGGAGGATTTGTTCTTGTTAGTTCCCGAAAAAGATTTTGACACACGCCCTCAATTTCAGATGTCCGTCGAAACGAGCTTGGCGGCCCTGGCATCAGCTCCTGCACGTCAAATCAGACGACTAGGATGTCTAATCGCAAGGGCGATTCATTCGTTCTCCAGGCCAGGGATCAAATTGGGATGCAGTTCTAATTCATGTTATAGCGCTCGAAGCTTTGGTTAGCATTGAAATGAATTAGTACTGCAGCATAGGTTTAGACGGCACAGAATTCAAAAGCTTGGAATAGTAAATCAGAGACAAATTAGAAGATTCGTTGGACATCGTAAATTGTCTTTCATAATTCATGACGACTTGGTATTTTACATTCCCACGCGCTTTTAATGCATTATATCTAATCTTCATCCCAGTTCTATCACAATCAGTAAGGATCATCGTCAATGGAAAGGTTATGAACTTACAGGATTTGGTCCTGGAGGCTTTGGTCCACCAGCTTGTCTAGCAACAATAATTTGATCAACAGAGAGCACAGTTCTTGCGGCCTCGGTAGCAAGCTTGATGGCCCAACTCTTTGAGATCATGAGATCTAAAATACCCTCTTGCTTCGCATCGAGAGTTCCGGTATCATCCTCATTCTGTTGGAAAATTAGTACAAGTCTAAAAAAATGGTACCAATAGAGCTTACCTCAATATCAACACCGGTGTTCCAGTTGTCGTGCTTGTGGTGAGCAGTATAAAGTCTGCTTAAAGTCTCTGTAGCATCAAGACCAGCACTTTCCGCAATTGTTCTTGGAATAACTTCGAAAGCCTCACCAAACTTGCGAATGGAGTATTGAGCCAAACCAGGAGTCTTGTCACCAAATGCTTGTATCCTCTCAACCAATTGAATCTCTGTAGCTCCGGCACCCGGTACGAGTCTTGGATCTCTTGTGATTGCCTTAACGACGTTGACACCATCATCAACAGCACGCTCGACATCATCAAGATGATTCATTGTTGCTCCTCGAAGGACTAAAGTGGCAGTTTTTGTGGTTTCGTTCTCTTGTCTGAAAACTGTAACTCTATCTCCACCAATCTCGAGGGTCTCCACAATATCAACACTTCCCATCTCATCAGGCATTGGTGCTCCAAGTCGAGCTAGTGGAGTGGCACCTACGACTCTACATAATCTTCTGAGTTCGAATTTGCTGAGAATGCGGATGACCAAAATACCAAAGCGATTAAGGTAGTGCATGGCAAGTTCACCTACAGTAGAACCAGCAACGACGACTCGTAGACCGGAATCATAAAGCTCCTTGATGGCAGTTTCCAACTGGTTCTCTTCTCCCTTTGTGAAATCTAACATCTCCTTGGCGTTATGTAATAAAACGGTACCCTTGGTTTCTGTTTGACTAATGTCGATTGGGCATGAGAATACACCGACCTTTGCCCTGGAGGCCTTCTTGACTGATCCATCTGGTTCACGGCCGAAAACCATACCCTTGACAACCCTGCTTTGTTCTAAGCTTCCTCCCATAATCTTAACGACTCTGATGTTATCGACGTTGAAGTTGATTGGGTTCTTTGGGAGGACGGCCAAAACAGCTTCGGCGACCATGTTTGCCAAGAAATCCTCGTTGCCGTTTTGTTTGCTTGCAATAACAGTTCGAATAGCTTTGCTGAGTTCGGCCTGCGATCGCATATCCTCTACTTTGTCCACCACCAAGTTCTCTAACTCTTCCAAAGCAAACTTCTGTGCTCGCTCGTAACCTATAACTATATCACTAGTTTTTAATCCCATTCTTAACAGATCTTCAGCTTTCTTTAAAAGCTCTCCTGCAAGAACAATGACTAAGTTTGTAGCATCTCCCATCTCGGCTTCCTGTTGCTGACTGGCCATGACAATAAGCTTTGCTGCGGGGTGGACAACATCGAGTTCTCGAAGGATGGTAGCGGCATCTGATGTGAGGATCATCTTTTGCAGATGGTTAATGACAATCTTGTTTCGTCCATAAGGTCCTAAAGAAGTTTGAACTGTTGAAGCAATAGTCCGGCATGCATCGATGTTACGAATAACTGCTCCATCTTCAGAATCATAGCTTTGGAGGGGGTTAGCTTTTGTATTTTGTATGGAATTTAGGGAGAAACTCCTACTTTTGGTAACCTTGTTTGAAAAGGTTAGAGTTTGGGGCATTTGGGATATTGAGAGACATCTTGAAATGTGTTCAGTAGAAAGATCTCTTGCGTTGATATTATCCTTCCCTTCCTGCTCAGGGAAAAAAGTCGCGTCTATCTGCCTTTTTTGGTGGAGGAAGCGTGGATGTTGGCCGTAATTATGAGGCATCAATAATTTTTGATGCATGCCCAGGAGCTGTCATGCCATAGTTTACCCGACTTGAATAGCTTCATAGACCAAAGAATGAAATGCGATGTGAAGCTTAAATTTGAGACAATCAACGCGAATACCACAAAACCGTACAGACATTCTCATCATACAAAAGTTATCAGAACAATCATTGAATTTGCGCAAAATCCAAAGGTTTAATTTCAGCACATTCAATTTATTAGCTTCAGTAGTACGTACGTTGTATTAATCCATTCATAAGGCTTCACAGCTATTGAAAGGACCCCAAATCCAGGTAGTGGAACGAATCTAGTGCTAATACCAACGTTCAAGATTGCGCTCCGCAACCAACATATCTCCTCCAACCACGTTTTATCAGATCAATCGCCTTTACCCTATCGATTCGAGAACTTCCGGTGTCGCATTATTGTGAAGCTCAGGATAGTGGTTGATCCCCTTCGAAGCATAACTTCGACGTGATCTGTTGGACAACCACCACAAAATCAAAATGGCGTCCAACGGAATATCAAAAAACCCACCAACACTTCCCCCATCGGTTGAAGAATCATACAAACGCAAATGTATTCAACTCAAGACTCGAATGAATGAAGTCGAAGAAGCAAATGATGCCGCGCGCCTCAGATTGTCACGAATGCGTCGAGCAATCAATAAGATGCGTCTAGAGCGAGCCTTCTTGTTGGAACAAATGTCGAAACGAACGAGTACAAATGTGGAAGACTCAGAGGGTTCCCCAAGTCCACCTCCAACAGTAGGTTCATCTATATCTGCTTTTCTGCGTCCCTTTCTATATGATTGCAAACAGACATCTAACATAGGAATCCGTAGCCTCAAGAAAAGCCATTGCGCACAAAGCGTGGTCATCGCAAACCCTCTTTCCTGAATACCCTCGGTGATCCAACCGTTCCACTGCCCAACAGCTTGAATGCCAATCTCGCCATCTCACCTTCCTCCTCCTCCTTCTCTCACACACATCTCGATATGCCGAGTAACCCTAGCCAAGGAACATTTAATAGTTTCAATACCTCCCTTGCCCATCCACAACCAATATCTCCTCGCCGCGCACTCTCCAATTCTACTCCTATGGGTGGGCGAACGCCGCACTCAGCCTCCCATTCTCCATCTATCCCCCCTTCTGGACCACCCAAAACACCTGCTTCAGGCTTTGAATTATACTGTCAGGAACTACGTGGGCCCATGATGGTACAACATAGACGTGGTATCAAAGAAGGAAACCTTGACATCGACCGTCTTTTGGCAACCGGATGGAGAGAAGCAGATGCTGCAACCACAGAACGATACGAGAATCTATTCAAAGCAATGCAAAATTCAAAGAAACTCGAGAACAGCACCCCCCTAGATGACGATGTAGAAATGGGAGACAGTGGACGTGAAGAGACACCCAATGGTAACGGAGCCAATGGAGCTGCCGGCTTTACATCCGTGAACAGAGGCTAGATACAATCTACGGAGTTTACTTGGCAGTTGAGGAATGGAAAGGATCTGGATCAATACGATATGCGAATGGGATAATGGAAGGACGAAAATACTCCAAACTTGGCGTTATGGGGGCGTGAAGATGAACCAAGCTGCTTGCTTGCAATATTAGAATTACTCTTTGATTTTTCTGAGATGGAATCCTTCGTGCAGATATCCATCTGCGTGTGTATTTTGTAGTCCACTTCTTTCGGTGTAATATTAGCTTCATACGATCTTGCTATTTCTTGATCATGCGTAACTGGCCCCTTTGATATATCCGAGAATAGACCGGAAAGTGTTCAGCTCATCAAACATGTGTAAGCTTCAAAGGTGTAAAGACGGTACCTTCATAAACTTTCCTTCTTGAAAAATGCAGTAGACTGCCAATCAACATCTTTAACTTCACATTACCTACACATCACATCACATCACATCACATCACGCCACAACAGACAATCCAAATGTATTCACTCAACCCTTTCCATTCTTACACCTCATTCTATCTACATATACAAGTCTCCCCCAAGCTATCCTTTCTCGCGAAATACAAATTCCACATCTATCCAAATATCAGAACGCCCGTTTCCCTCCACGCCATGCACGCACGCACACAGTCTTTCAAGTACTATGTGATGTAATTATTATGTACAAGCCTGCAAGTTGCACCCCAAAGAAGCAAATAGAAAGGAAAGAAAGATTAACGCCCGCGTTTCCGTATGATCAGATCTTGTGTACAAATATTTCGGATGTCATTCCAATGGTAGAAGAAATTTGGAATGATGGGCGATGATTATGTTAGTGTTCTAGTAGGATGTTTTGTGTGGTGATTGGGTATGCCATGACAATTTTCTCTACTCCCTTTCTAGCTCGAACTGTTGGTTGAATGACAGCTTCATTGCAATTCAACAATGAAGGATTCTGGTAATTCAAATGTTCTGAAACGTAGAGATAACTTTGGACGACTTGAATAATTCAAACACCAAATGAAATCTCTTCCTAGCCAAGTAGTCGAGAAGGCGAGTTCGTAGTTCTGTACGTTATTCGCCGACTGATAAATCGACGACAATATTAAGAACCGCAACTAGAATTTCCACAGCAATTAGAACGATGACAACCCATTCTAGCTTCTCTCCGTGTCTGTGACTGAGTTGATCCTTAAGAACTGCCAACAAGTCCGCGATGACGTCCAATCTCTCATTCAGCAGCTTCACTCTCTGATCCATTTCTAAGTAACTTCTCACAGCTTGGTATATTGGTTCCAATTGCGGTTCTGACCAAAATAACTCAGGGGTATCTAGAATTGAACCATTAAGATGAATATTTATGCGAAGGATGAAGAGCTCGCCGATTTGCATGTTGATTCTTTTTCGTGGGAGGTCAATAGCTCCTGTCAGCGCGATTTGGGTTGGAATATCTTTGTTCTCGTCGATGGTGCTGTCTACTAAAGATTCAAAAAGTGAGGTCTGAATTAGATAGTTAGTACCTTAACGAAGATCGGATTCAAAGATCAAAGAAATACCTTGACACTCTGCGCCAAGCCGTGTGAAATCGCTAGTTTGGTCATATAATTTCTCTTGTCCTTCAAGGTGATAAAATCGTTGTAAATCCTAGCTTGATACTCTACGGTGTAATAGAAGTTGAAAGACTCCATTTCCACATCGTTGGCTGCGAATTTGCCGCTCTCGAACCTCGCTATGTCCTTGAGGAACCGCTGCTCATCCTCTTTAGACATACCCCATATTACCACAACACCATAGCCAAATAGGAACACTTCGGGTGTATGAATTCGAGTGTCAAAGTCGGGGTTGCTTTCTGAAATAAGAGCTTCGGTCTCGTTCTCCATTTGTCGCTCCATGATTTCTGGGAGGATGTGGTTAGCGGGGGAGTGGTCGCCATTACTGATGGCAACATCGCCGCCATTGGTATGCAGGTCTATGAGGTCGTCTCGACGTTGCTTATTGTTGTCTTCCACCTCAATAACACTATCCGAGTGTCTTCGCTCCGTCAACTTTACCGGCGCACTATGTACCTCCATGTCCCGATCCGAAGGGGTCTTTCCATGGTCTTTACCGTATCTAAATGGTGTGTATATACATTCATCAAACAATTTTGGGTTTGCTCCCTTCGTCTTCTTGCCCCGACCGTTTAGAAAGCGCATCACATTTTCCAATTGATATTTGTTAGCAGTACAGTACGCAGTCACTCGAGGCAATCGAGCGCGATCGGCCTTCCCCAGCCTTGCAGCATCTCTACGCGCCGTTGGATCTTTGATTCTTGTAAATTGAGAATAAACGTCTCGTCCGCTCTCTTCGTCGGGTCCATCTGCGCCAACCTCCAAATCCGGTAGATACTTAAGCTTCTGTGTGATCTTACTAGCTCTTTGGGGGCCTATCTTTGATGCTGGGTGCATTGGCACTTGAGGGGATCCATGACTGTTTCGACGTCGAAGTTTGCTATTGAGAGAAGGTGGTGATGGCGCTATTGTTCTAGGCGATTGTGCATATTCGTTGGAATCAGTTGTCCTAAGTGATTGCGAAGGTTCGTTCAAGCCAATTGTCCTAACAGTTGGATTGTCATTGAAGGTAACATTCCTTGGTGCTTTCTTGGAGGTATTCGTAGGACTGAGGGCTTGTTGGTCAAGAAGAGGTGTATGCTCTGAGGGGCTGGCGCTGGTGAAAGCCATAGGAGCGTCAGTCGTGTGTATTAATTCTATCCCTACCGAGAAGAAGTTGAAAAGAATGATTTCAAAGTAGAAAGTTATATGTGCATAGAAGTGATTGATGTATTAATGTATCTAGTAGTAATTCATGAAGTTAAAAATTTACATCTCTGAAATGACGTTTATTTTCTATAAGAGGAAGTAATATTTGGGCAAGCTTTCATCAACAAATCGTGAGATCCGTGCGGGCGCGTTAAACCTCATTCGGAACAGCTAGCATATCCATAATTCAGAACCAACATACCGAATTTTGATATCAACAGTACGGTTTATTACTTTCCGAGCAAATTTTGACAAGCCAGGTAGTATCTGCCGTCGTTGTTCACTTTGTATTCGAAGACCACGAGCTCATTCTGTCATTATGAGATAGATTCCAACCTCGAAGCGACGGTTTCAACAACCCTGTAACACTATGGGCCTCTCTCGAATACTCTCTCTTCAAGAGGTAAGATCTTACAGGTGGCATAGATCAGAGAGGTAATTGCGCATGCCCAAGGTTTATATCGGGATTCGGTTGAGAGTTATGGGAGCAATCATCACAGGTTTATGGGCCCATTATAAGAGTGATAAGGTCATGATTACTTTATCTTATTGGTAGCTTTTATCCCTATGGCTGAGGCTGTGTTTCAACTTGCATATCTCAGCCCCATACAGTATTACCAGCTCGTCGGAGTCTTTGAGATATTTCACAGATTCCTGCCCCTTCAGATTCCAAGTAGATCCATTCTCAAATAATCACTATGTCTGGAGTTGAATTTATCGCTGTCCTTGGAATTGCTTCCAATGTCATAGCAGTTGTGGATGCCTGCACTAAGATACAGAATCGTATACAGTCATATCGCCAAAACACTGCTTTTCGCGACTTATCTCTCCAACTGCCTTTACTTATCTCAGCCATCGAGTCTTTGAGATCTCCTCAATATCGTGGTCTTCTAGATCCTTCGACCGAAAAGGCATTGGTTCGTGTCCTGGAGGGATGTCTTCGTCAATTGCAAACTCTGGAGGGCTTGATTCAAGACTTGACACCTAGTGACACAGCATCTAAACTCCAGAAGACTTGGAAAGGAATCAGAAGTTTTGGCAAAGATACTAAAGTGCGGGAGATAGTCGGTATTCTGGCAGAATATAAGTCGACTATTGCATTGCACCTTTCTACCGTGCATGTTCACATAACTCCAAAATCTGGAGCATCATTGTCTAACAAAAGATCATACTTTGATGTTCCCCAGTCAAGAGTTGCACAGTTTGTTGGCCGAAAAGATGTCTTGAATCGAATTCAAACGGCATTAAAAGCTAGCCACAACGACCCTTCAATTGTCGTTCTTACTGGTGTGGGAGGCCAAGGGAAAACTCAGATTGCTCTAGAATATAGTCACCAGCACAAGAAATTCTATAAAGGTGTGTTTTGGATTGATGCGTCATCGCAGAAGTCTGCGTCTCGTGGATTCGAGAGAATCTTGAAGACAATCGACAGTTCTGCAGTTCTCGTTGGCGGTGAGGAAAGCAAGTCAGCTGTGATAAATATCTTGGGTGATTGGAAGGAATCATGGCTGTTGGTCTTTGATAATTACGACGATCCAAACGCTTTCGGTGATTTGCCATCCTATTTTCCAAACTCCAATTCTAACGAGAACGCCATCATTGTGACAAGCCGTCACATATCAAGCGGTAGACTTGGCAGTCACCTGAAGCTGGATGGACTGACCGAGGAAGAAAGTGTACAGTTATTGACATCCAGATGCACTTCAGTCTCAAATTCTGAGGATGATCTAAATCATGGAAGAGAAATAGTAAAGAAATTAGGATACCTCCCGCTTGCGATTGATCAAGCAGCAAGCTACATTTCAATTCGCCATCTTCCGCTTCATATATTCTCAGACCACTTCCAGCGGCGAAGGGAATTCATACTCAAAGACACCCCGCAGTCTTTGTGGGAATATCAAAAACGTAGCTCGGCCGGTTCACAAGAAACTTCCGAGCATTTATCAGTTCTTACCACTTGGGAGCTGTCTTTCGACCAGATCTCTGGCAATGATGAGGAGAGGAATCGAATTGGCGAATTCTTGACCCAAGCTGCATACTTCAGCCCAATGAGTATCAGTGAATCACTGTTCAAAAATTCCGTTATCTACAATGAAAAGTCTCCAGGATGGAAGTCTCTTTTCTCCCCTCAGGGGTCTTGGGATTCTTTCAAGTTTCAAGATGTTATTGTTGGCCTTGTAAATCTTTCAATTATTCAAAATATGGAAATCACGAGCGATGAGGTTCGATTCTCTTTGCACCCATTAGTAAAGGTATTCTTGTTTTCGAAAATACGTTTAAGAAAGAGCTGATAAATCTCAGGATTGGTTGCAACTTAGAGAATCTATAGAGAGACGCCAGGTGCGTGTGAGTTTTGCGATCGCATTAACAGCATCTGTTATACAGGACACGGACACAGAACTACTTTCCCTGCAAAACCGACAAACGCTGCTATCACATATCGATGCCTGTATCGAGAACGAATCCTCTTTTTTGACTGATCAGCAGAGCATTATAGAATTCGGAGGCGTCATAGAAGGATTTCAAACCACTTTCGCTACATTTTATGGGCAACATGATAGAAAAAATGATGCAGAACGTCTGTTCATGCATTCTCTTGACATGCAAGTTTCACTGTTGGGAACAAACAACGTTGCGACTCTTAGTACTATGAATAACCTCGCGGCTATGTATCTCGATTCAAGGAGGTTGGAAGAAGCTCGGCCTCTGCTTAATCAAGCATTAGAAATCAAGCATACCATGCTTGGACCGCAACATCCACGGACGCTGAACACAGCCAACAACCTTGCAAATCTCCTTGTACTACAATTGCATTTTGATGCTGCGACTGAAATCTACGAAAGAACCTTGATAGGGTATCAAAAACTTAACGGCCCCGTTCATAAGACTGTAATAGAGTCACTGAATAATTTGGGCGAGGTTGCTATGAAGAGAGGGAACTTCTTGGAAGCGGAAGAACTGTTTCAAGAAGGACTCAAAAAACTAGAAATACTGGGCGGTGGAGTAGACCATGGTTTAGCGCTATATCTCAAGGCAAATATAGCTTTAGTCTACAAGCTTCAGCATCGCTACAAAGAAGCGGAATACTGCTATCATACCATAATTCAGAAGCGAAAAGCCCTTCTTGGGCCCAAGCATTCCTCCACATTGCAATCTATGTGCGAGTTGGGGGATGTGTACTTCGCAATGGGTCAACTGAAACTTGCCGGCGAATGGTATATTCACGGTTGTGCTAGCAAAGAGCGCGTTATTGCGGGGACAACTTCTTACCGCAATCCCGAAGAAGAAGTCGAGAACTTACGTTTAGGGTTTGAGCTGTTGAAAACTCTGAACGATCAAGGAATACCAGACACTTCGCTTGATACTGAAGTCGCTTGTATCGATCGTCGAGGACCTAGCATTTTCGATGACTTTATGGAGAGTTTGGAACCGAACATGCCAAATGATCCTGGGATAAATGTGCCGCAAGAAAAAACTTCGTATCACCCCAGACTAAGAATCCCAGAACCTAGGACTCAGTTCCTCGCTCCATTGGATCGTGGCGGGATCCATATCATGCAACAGGCACCTTCGAATAACGCTCCCTCTGCCCTCACTCCATTGGATCGTGGCGGGATCCATATCATGCAACAGGCACCATCGAATAACATCCTCTCTGCATCCGTTAAAGAGATGAAAACTCCTTCAAGTTGCAGTTCACTCGCAACGCCTAATGATGCCGTGAACAAAGAAGCTTTCAATTCTATTACCGCTCCAGAATCGGCTGACCATCTGAGTTCAAAGGTGGATCGTACAGGAAGGGCATTGAGAAACAAGCAGCTTGCTACACAACGTCTAAGCTCGGTTTCCTCGATCTTGGGAGCGCATCCGTCTCCAATAAGAAAAACAATCCCGGATAGAGATCGAAGAGGAAGGCAAAATCAGTACCGTGCTTGGCCTGAAGAATAGTGTCTTTCAAATGTAAGTCAATTCAATGCAGAGAATCACGGTATAGTTCTAAAGGGTCTGCCGTCAATCACTAGCGCGTAGACCGATTTTCAAAGAGACATCATTCTCAATTGAGACGCTAAAGATAGGACTGACGGATGGATCGAGTCTTGGGATCTGTCGGGACTCCTCATATTTTACCGGAGATACCACCAACAGGCGGGACTGGAGTCCGATATCTTTGCCGTCTCAATTATTCGAATTCAGCGACTTTCTTGTTAAAAAGCATCAGCCGCAGGCAACAAATTCAAACAACCTTTTATAGCAGTGAGCATGTGTTCCTGCCCGGCAGCCTGAACCTCCTCTGAAAAAGTATATCATTTTCACAATATATTGGGCGAGATTATTATTAAGCTACATACTGGACCTAGGCTGTTAGTAGAGTCCTGAGCGTATCTCAAAATTGGAATTAGCGGACTAGGCAAAACTTTTATCAATGTAACTATTTTCATATATGCGATTAGTTTAGTCGAGGGCCCTTATTGCCATACCGTAATAATATCATGCGCGTATGTGTGGCAAGAGCAAAAAATATCATCTTATCAACGAGTTTTAATAGTTCTATTCTTTAGTATGAGCCGGAAACATCCCACTCCTTACACCAAGGGGTTTACCAGATATTTTGTTACTATTTCTATTGTAGGGGACTGTTGATATTGAAATGAAGACATGTCTGTGCCACAGTTGGAGGACAACATTCACTCATAAAAGATGTGAAAGAAGTCCTTTTTTCTAAAACCTCACGAGTGCTTCAACAAGCAAAGTTTATTCAAGATCAGAGCTTCTTTGTAATGAGATACAAGATCATACACGTGTTGATAAGATTGCAAGAAGATAGACAAAGGAGGGCTCTTGAATTTTCTCATTCTCTATTATTCGCTCCCGTTCGAGATGAACTTTATTGTACCATACCAGCTATTCCAGATTGATTTTACCCCTTATAGAACTCACTACTCCCGTGTGCTCGTTGTCGCAATTAAGATGTTCCGATTCTAGCAAGCTTCTCAAATCCTCATTTTCCTTTCTCGATCTTTCGATTGCAGTCGTCGTTTGTTGAGTCAAAATCCAACGGTCGTATAGTTTTGACAATCCTATCTCATCTATCAAATAACCTTTTTGGTGCTCGTCATCTCGAGCCATAATGTAGTGAAAGATGAAATGTTTGGACACCGAGTCTTGGGGTAAAGAGACAAACAAAACGTCAGATACCGAGGGGTTTTCCGTGTATGTTTTGAAGTATAGCCGAAAATCATATATGATGTCATTCTGGGAAGCGGGGGTTTTGAGACCTGCGCCTAGCAGCTAAAAGTCAAAAAGAACAGAGGTTGGACGCAAAGAGCCCACCACGATACTGCTATAGTACCAGGATGCTAATACTTGGAGTGAAGCTGCATTCGCTCATAGAAGATGGATAGTTTGACTATTAACGATGATGTCGTTTTCAAAAACTTAGTCCAAGAATGATGGACGGTGATGATCAAAGAGATCCTGGTGGATGTAATTTTTTGGTCGGCCCACAGCTATCGATTCGATCATTCTATGACCAAAGAGAAGCCTTCACACAGATTTAAGAGGTAGATTTTGTAAGCGAGATGGGATTGAATTGAGATTCACCTCGCAGTCAAGGCAACATGCGCTTCTTCAGCTATGGTGTCCTTGTTAGACCCTTGATATTCAGATACCTGCAATGCAGCCAGCCAGCTGTCACCGCGGTATTAGCGTGATAGAACATGCGGAAGTAATCGAGCAAAGATCAAACGAAGGCAGTGCCGTAGAAAAGTATGGGAGTATGAGATAATGGTATTTATAAATGATGAATTCTGTTGAATGTATATTTCAAGAGGTTTTGATAGTTTTGTTACCATTTCTATTCGAGAAGAACCGAGGACGAATGGTTATATTCATAGCTCAATTTAAGACCGTGTTGTTCTGAAACCTCCAGACGAGCTCAGATGAAAGGTCCCACGCACATACACATAGCCAAGTCCTGCTGGCCTGATTTGTCTTAACTTTATATACATTTCTGATCGTCATATTGACATCATTGTCTATCGTGTTGATGAAAACATCTGTTTAGTAATCGTCTCGCATGTTATGTAATCGATCCTTCATGCTTACAATCACCCCCACAAGAGAAAATCATCACGATCTCACACTGACCTTGGGAACTGGATTGGTGAATACTCTGTAGATAGCCTCAATTAGTTCTATGTGAAGTGTCCAGTTAGTATTCCGATCAATAACTAGTAGTGAACCAAAAATGGTGATAGGTTATTGCTATACGAGATTCTACTAAGATCTGGAATCGGATGATGTCAGATGATCCTTCTTGAAAGTATATAACAGTTGGAATATTGATAGTCTTGGCTATAGTTTCCCAGTTATTTAAATCATCTGAGTCGTCGTACTTTCTTGAAGGACTCATATCACTTTCACGGTCTTTCATCTCTTTTGCTATCACTTGAACTGGGTACCTACACATACCACACCCACCACGGACAACATTCAGAACAAGCAAGCAAAGCGCGCATATTAGACAGAAAGAAATCTAGACTTTGTGAAATCACCTATCTATCATGTCTGAGTCCAAAAACAAGGTTCGCGTTGGTGTTGGAGTTTTCATCCTGCACCCCTCTTCTACCCCCTCAAACCCCCTATTCCTAATGGGCAAACGGCTTGTTCCCCACGGTCACGACCAATGGGCGAATCCAGGGGGACACCTCGAGTTCGGCGAAACACTTGAGGAATGTGCTGTCCGGGAAGTGCTTGAGGAAACAGGACTCGTACTTAAGAAGGAGAAGATGAAATTTCTTACCGCGACGAATAGTCTTATGGAAGCGGGGCCCAGGAGGGATGGGAAGGAAGGGCTGGAGGGGAAACACTATGTAGCTGTTTGGATGGTGGGGACTTGGGATGGAAAGGGAGAGGGCCCGAGAAATTTGGAGGGCGAGAAGAATGGTGAGTGGGAGTGGGTGGGGCTGGAGGAGACTAGGAGGTGGGCGGGAGTAGAAGGTATGCTTTTCCAGCCGGTGCTAGATTTGTTAAGAGAGAGAGGTGAGGTGCTCGAAAGTCTTGTATAGGTGGCTCACTTTCCAGGCTGGGTGGTACATTTGGTGTTGGAGTTTGAGTCTTTTGTAGGAGTTGCTGGGAGTTGAGATGATGGATTGATTTAGTATGCGAGATTTGTATAACGTAGACTATACTGTATAGGCATGCAAATACGAGTATATAATGTTTGAACTGTCATTACATTATGAATAGAAGATATACCACCAATTGAACTTATGATCATGGTTATCATCGCGAGAAGGTCAAGCGTTCTTCATAGCATCAAATCCTTCAGAAATTTTGGACAGAGGCCCGAAACAGACTGACGTATTCGACTTAAAACAGTCATAGAACCATACAAGATAAAACTCTATACTTCGCCTAGATCTTACAGCCTTACAAAATTATGTGAGCCAGGTCTAGCTACTCCGAGTAACATGCAGCAAGGGGTTTAAGCCCGCTTGATACAGCGATAGCCAAAAGCATGCTGTTAATGCAAGCATCGCACCAGGTTGCGAATAAATCACTTTGGGCCTTGTTTTTTTCCAAGGCGGAATAAACAGCCATATTTCCCACTACTCAACTGGTGATCAATACTTTAAGGTGAATTGCAAAACAAATTTGTAGTTATATTGAGAAGTGAAGGGGGGGGAGGGATTGTCGACGACCTAGGTATACCTTATCAATAAACCTAGTTATTATTCCCTGAATTAATGGACATGAGAACTAGCCTCCACCATCCAGGAACCTTGACAGCGCTTCGATTGTAACGCTCACTACATTTGTCGGTATTTAATAGTATGGCCAATGAGAAGGTCTGTAATGCGGAGATGGACGTCGTATTCCGAGTCGCTTTTCGATAGTAGAAATTAAAGCGACAAAGATGTCATCCTGATGGTTGCAGCTTTTTTGTTACCAAAGGGAAGAAAATCTATCGGTAATCGGGGCTCAATCCATTGTAGGAGGTCGAGTGAGGGGTCCAAATTCTGTCGGGTCACCGCAGAACGTGTGATTCGTGGAGAGAATGAGAGCGGGTAAAAATACTCATCCTGGAAATACTACGCCATAAAATTTATAGAGAACACCAAGAGAAGAAAGCGAGATACGAGGGCCTTATTTACTTTTTGTAAAGCGATATGCATAGCATATTCACAAAACTAGCCAGTGGATAATAGGTTGAGTAGATACGCAAGCTCTCTAGAACTCTAAAAATGCCACGCTATCTTGCACGATTTGAAACATGACTATTAGCACAAATACAGAGATAAGTTGAAGTATAACTAACTGTACAATCTATTGGAGCAAAAGTGTGTATATGTGATGCAACGCATACTATAGCTGCATGAAGCACGCGGGGATATTCCTTCTTTGGAAAAGACTGCATATCCAGCCGCGACCTGCAGCTCTTGTAAATGAAGCCGATTTCGCACTTTCAGTATTGTTGCCTGCAGTTGCGGAAATATCTAGTGAATCACGAGTCTTCCTTACATCATCATGATTAGAGGGCCAATCAATCAACTATTCAACACACCTTCACGTGTACTTACCCGCTGCTATGATGTTATGGAAGTTCCTGTCTATCTCTGATTGGGCTGCAAGCTACTATTTTTCAGCAGAATGAACTTCTGAGAATCTCCAGCGCTTGATAGTCGCTCGTAACTCGCTAATAAAGGTTAATCAAGATGCCAATATGCACAATGAAGTAGCAATGTCACCTTCTCTATTTGAATTACCTTGCCGCACTTCTGTAAGCCACCGGTTCAACATCCGAAATCTGCTTAACTTACACCGAGTAAAGCTCAAAAAAAGGATCATCTTCTTGAGCCATTTTATTACCGAAGAGAGGCTGGGCCGGTTTGGTACTGCAATCTACTGCAGGACTTGCTGTTAAAGGTCAAGACAAAGAGCGATCTCGGGAAGAAACGACATGAAGTCTGCGTTTACGCTAGACCTTAGCACTCATAAACGCTAGTTGACGGTTTGATAATACCCTTGATGCCGATAGTAATCACTTCCCAACAGCTTGGGACGAGGTAGTCGTACCTATTGCAGCTATCTGGCCGTTGTGAGCTTTCAAGGACATGCTCCGGGTAGAAAAAATATCGAATTGGCGTGTTGGTGGCGTTTATTGAAGTTGGAAAATAGGGTGTAAATTGATTGAAATTGGTTTCTTCTTCAGTCCAATAACTGCATAGATCCAGGAAGCATTGCGGCACAGCTCTGGACAATATTAACTTCACTCACCTCAGAAGTTTCCGAGAACGAGATTCTGGGACTCCACAAGGTGAACCTATTTGGAGATTCTGCAACCAACGATGGGTGTCAAAGGGCGTGAAAACATATAACTCGGGCGAGCGAGAGCTGAGGAAAGTGATTTATCACCTGTAATCCAGTCATCAGGTTGCAAGGTCTGATATAACCACCAAAGTCTTACTGCTGTCAATGAAGTTTGAGCAGGGAAAAGGGTTGTGGCTTCATTTAATCTCCGGGTATCGATGACTCATGCCTATCGAGTCTGTGCCACAGTTATGAAAACATTTACAAATCCGTGCCTTTAATACTATAGCTTCGTATGTGATTGATGAATTCCCAATATTCCATATCTCTGGAACGAAGGAATATAACTTCGTCAATATGCCTGTGCTTGATGATGCTAGCCTCCTTTTTCATGGATTCTCAAGTGCTTTCAGGATCTAGGACCGAAGTTTGGTGTCTGTTCCTTGCAATTGCATCTCAGTCAGATGTCATTCAAATTTGATATCTAATTATATTAAAGCTTTAGGATTCGGTCGTTGTCAGCAATTTTGCGGTAGTTGACTGTCTTTAGACTATTCATAGAAATGTTAATTTCAATCGTCTGAGGAAGGATTTCCGTCGGTCGTTTCATGATCGCTTTCATGATTCTGAACCTTCCATATTCAGTACTTATTTGAAATTTGTTTGACGTCCTATTTGTCTTAGTTATTTTGATCAAATACCAACCAAGTCTCACGCAAATATAACTAAATCCCTTCTGCTTGGAAATCTGACCACGTCATCACGAGAATTTGGATTAGGTGTCACGTTATTCGGAGGAGTGGCTAAATTTAGATAGCGTAAACTTTCGGAGGATTGATACCCCCACAGGTTCTATGCATGTCATGATATTTAGTGAAATTAGTTCCATCCCCGGACACACTAAATCTATCGTGCAAATGTCAAAAAGACGCAATATATCCGATCGGTGCCGTACAGTAAGTTTCAAGACACGCAATTTGGTTCTCAAGTGCGATGTATTCGACTTAAACCATCGAAATAGGAAATAAATACTTGATTTTGCTAATTATCTCGCTAGATCTGTGCTTAGTTTCTCCATTCTGGGTTTAGCATTTGGAAATTCAAGACTGTCAGTTCATGAACTCACCCTGCGTGTTTTTCCCCAACATTATTTCACGCTGATATTGCTACATATTATGCTACTTCAAGCTGCACATAATTCTTGTAAAATAAGATACAGGAGTTGCGAATACGCAGAAACGGGCTGACAGAGGATGTCATTTACTCATTAATGTCTGAAAATCAGACAAATCACACTGGTCTTTAGTGACTACAAATCAATTAGTCTTTTTTTATATCGATATTGAGGATTTGAATAGTAAGAAATGGTTTAGAGACTCATATAAAGGATCCGAATTCCTAGATATGGACATGAAGCACGCTCAGAAGATCTAGAATTCTTTATGCCAACATAGAAAGGATTAATACTTCGAGGTTCAAGATAATTGATGTATTGAAAGATTATGATAAATCGTTGTCATACGACTTGTCATGAAAAGATGTAATTAATCTCCTGAAAAGAACCGCCTCAGGAATCCGGAAATCTGCTTAGAATTTCATGCCTTCATTTTGTCCATAACGGTGAATACTGTCTTGAAAATTTACGTTGCACTCAGTACGAAAGAAATCTGACCATTAAATATGAACCCTAAGATAATTTTGTTTTATACTCTTACACTCCTTTCGGTGCTACGTTGAGTAAAGGAACAAAGTCAATCCTTCGCTGAAGAAAGCCTCAATCCCAAAGCAACGTCAAGAAACGGGTTTGAACACCGGAATACAAGAAACAACAAAAGAAAAAACATATATAAACCCATCACATATCTTCGGAAACACAACATTCTCATCATCACATCACAGTCAACTTTCAAGTACATACTTCTCAAAACACACTCACAGCACACGGCTCCTCGTTGTCTTCACACTTTCATTAAACTCAAATTTTTAAAACAAAACACCTTCGTCAGTCAGAATGAAGTTCACAATCACTGCTATCGCCGCCATCATGGCATTGGCTCCCCTCATCTCCGCTGCTCCAGCTCCAGTATCGGCAAACGAGCCCGAGCTCGTCCGTCGCTCAAACTCAGGTGACTTGACCTACTATGATGTAGGTCTTGGTGCCTGTGGCACCACCAATTCTGACTCCGAATTGGTCGTTGCCATGTCAGCAGGACTTATGGGAACCCAGTCCAACGGCAACCCCAACTGCGGAAAAAAGATCAAGATCAACTATGGCGGAAAGTCAGTCACTGTCAAGGTTGTTGATAAGTGCATGGGCTGCGCTAGATACGACTTAGATTTGAGCCCTGCCGCTTTCAAGGCACTTGCTCCAGAGTCTGCTGGACGCATCAAGGGAACCTGGTCCTTCGTTTAGATTGACAGACATTCAGAAATCGGCAGAGCCGGCCAAACGATTGATTCGCCGTAGAATTCATCCCTATCTCTGCATGGCCAGCAGTGGAATGGTGGTTTCCGTGCGTGGATGGTGAAAATTGTGGTAGATCGTTCTATTTTCGTTGGATTTTTGAGGGGTCTTGCACTCTGGGGTTCGAATATTGGGAGGAGAGATGGTAATCCAATGTTGTATTTATAAAGTTACTGGGGGAAAAACAATATTTCGTAGAAGTAAATTGAATTTGCACTGCGGCATGACATTAAGGGTCTGATTCCACTCATTTCGCAATGGTGACTTTGAATTTTTCCATTGTGGCGTGACTGTCTAGGCTCTAGCGACGCATAAGAAATCCAAACAGGGAACTTCAACGGCACAGCGATGTCTATAACCTAGGAACTTATCACCGACATTGAACGAAGTGACAAGAACATGCAATAACTTTATCGATGCAGGAACAGAAAATCCGTGTTCCAAAATTGAGATATACAGGCTGACGTTTTGGAATCTCGGTTATTAAGCTGATGAAGGGGCTTGATTGGTGAACCAGTATTTCGGGCCCGGAAAGCCTGAATACACTTCCGGGGTTGGACAAAATGCAAGTAAATACAATTTCGGGGCTGGCTGAAAAACTATGGCAAATCCTCGCTATAGATATAAAATCATACATATTTTTCTCTCGACCTCTTCAATTGCATAATTTGGACATACTACCAAAACGATTACACCTAATTGAATTCCCGACTACATCCGAGCCAAATCCTGAGCTTACCGTCCTGATTTCTGCAAAATAAGGATAATTTGAAGAAAAAATTTTGTTTGGAAATTAAATATCTTCAAGATGAGCCTTATAAGCGATCTTTAATGCGGGGTTTTGCTTTATGGAGTGCAACCTATGCACCTATAATATAATCTCACAAGGCCTGGTGGGCCCTTAATTTTGAGACATGTTTTTCTAGCGAGACATAATACAATGATCCCGAAAATTCATTGGCACATAGAACCAAGGATATAAGATCGTGATAAGTATGGAGACACTCGGGGCAACTCTAACCTTGATCGGCAAAACTCAACCTATCTTGGAAATTCCGCTACGTTCTTGGAATTCTGAGCAGATAACCTTCAAGCATTTTCACAGATCTACCGAATGAATTTCCGATTGTGGGTATCCATGCAGTACCACATATCACTATCGCTGCAGCTCTCATGTCGAAATAATCATGGTTAGGGCTCACACCGAGTTCTATTACTTGTAGCCTTTTGCAACTTCAAAGCTGGTGTTGTCATCGGTTTGTTTTCAGATGACGTGATAGATAGACTTCCGAGACCCTGGAATGCGCCTTCCACCAAGTCGTTTGAACTTCTCGAGACAATCTAACCTCTAAAATCTTCCATCGATTTCGGTGTGGTCCCCAGTCCCCAGTCACCATCGCATTCCGATCTTTGACTAGAATCACAATTAGTTCGCACGATCGGGACCCGAGAAGCACTACAACACTTGACTAAAAGCCGCTCGTGCTTACGAACCCATCACTCAGACTTGAAGATTTTAGTGGCCGTCATTAGTTGCATATTCCAACAGGGCTCCCTCTGAATAAACTGATTCGCGAGACACTCCACCACAAATCTGAATCCTAGTTGTGGACTCGGCTGGGTTTCCTCTCAATGCAACGCTATCATATCGATGATCTTCAACATCTGAAAGCTAAACCTTGCAGAGGCCCTTTAATTGATACCCTTATCAAGTATCTATACTAAATAGATCACTCGATTTGGCGACTGGCGTCTGTTGAAATACAATTTCGAGCATTTCTTTCTCCCATAGTGCTCTGGCGACGCTTTTTGCTATCGCTTTACGCTCAAAGATGCGGGCTTCACACTATCGTTTGATGAACAGAGTCATGTCTGAAAGATTTCTTTCAAAGTCGAAGTTTGTGTGAGATTTTCTGCGCGTGTTAGCAAACAAAAGTCGCGTGTTACTTTTGACAGACCTTTTCTCTCCGAAAGATATACTGGTAAAACCTCATTTTCTAGGAATGAAGCAATTAATTCCAAGGGACCGGGACTTGGACTGCATAAGTGAGCTAGCTGAATCATACAGGTTTCTATAGCGGGCAAACTCAAAAAGTAAAACTTACTCTTTCCCACTTCACGCTGCATGTATTCGAGGCGCGAACCGGCCCGCAGTCTAAGGTTACACTGACAACAATGAGTATCCATCAACATCGTTAATAGCATTCCGCCCAGCCTTAACATTAAAACTTCCATAATACTTAATAACGACTATAATCAAAGCGCCAGACTATGAATAGTCTTATGTCTAGAAGCGGTGAGTCTTGATTGATGTATACAGATTTGCCTGGGTTGCCTCGTTCCAACATTGACCTGCGACGAAACCTGCTTCTCTGGACCGAGATTGTCTTTTTACTTAACTATAGATAACAATAAATATTGTCAGATCAGTACAAGACTACAGGCAGGGTTAATCCCGCAGAATTCACAGATTTTTAGCAGGGCTTACGCCCAGGATTCGAGGCTCTTTACCGCATCTGAATGTCACAACGCGTAAATCGATCTGATTCTGCCAAAGACTATGGATATTATGGGAACTATTGGCTTGCTTGGTTTTTATCTCCGAGAACAATTACTTCAAAAATTCTTACCAACCGCATTGCCAAGAAATTGTTATTCGGGACGTTGCAGCAGGTCAAAGGCTTTGAAAATGCTTGATCCGATCAGTCTTGTAACACATGTTATGGGTTTGTCAGTTTCGTGACGTGGCAGCCTGAAGTTTTATTAATTCTCAAGTCGGTTCATTTCTTTACTGGTTTGAGCCTTGCATTGCAGTTCATCCAACTATGGACGCCTGGAGTTATTAGACGAAACGATTGGGATTAGCAAATTGCTATATCCGGCCAGAGACATCGGTAGCTAGCCGATGTCTAACTACTTACTTCATGAGCAGTCCGCCTTAACTTACATATTTCCGGCAATGCTCTGTTTCCCTATACTTTCTTCATCCAAAGCATTGGATTTTCTGCCATAAATTATGGCTCAAAACCGTCCACAGTTTCAATGCGGATACTTTGGTTGCAACAAAACCTTTACGCGTCGTACAGGTGCTCGCCGTCACGAAACGACTGTCCATGGGGATAAAAA